ATTTGTAGATATTAAAGTTAAATTATCCATTCTATAATGAAATTATAGGCTACTTCGAAGTCTTCAATAAAATGTAAATAATGGAATATTTGAAAGATAAATATCGGATAATTGCATTCTCAAAAATAACCGTTCAGTAATGTAATTTGCAGCGGTGGTTAAATGCAGAACGAACCTGCTAAACACCAGAGCGATATTCTGAGATGAATTTGGATATATGAACGGTTTAAATAACAATTACTGTCACGCAATAGTACAGCGGTTTTCTATTAAACCATAATCGACTACCATCATCACTATCATAATCAACCATCATCATTATTATTATATTCAACCATCGTCATCATTACCATAATCGTCATCATCATCGGTATCTATATTACTATCATTACCTTAGATGCTAAGCATATATTTATGCTCTAAACCTGTAGATACAGAAGATACAAAACAAGTCAGATATCGAAATTATCTAGTGTTTTGGAAAGACAAGCCGCCCTGCCTCTTGTACGACACCGGTCACTTCTTCAGTATGTAAGATTACAAACAAAAGAATACTGATTTTCTATTCCAATTAATGTCTGAAATTCTGAGGACACTAATTTCCGCCTGCATTTTTCCAGGGGGTTATTAAAATATTTCATTTCCACTTCGCTGATAATATCTGCAGAATCTACATTCACTGGACTTTATCTGTATTATCATCAGATTCATGAATTAGCAGTCCATACATTTTTCAACCCATCTGTCAGGAAATGACGTCCGACTGTTCTATTCCGACAGTGTGCTATGAAGGAAATTTTGCTCTGACAGCGAGCGGCAGTACGGCCCATTCCTACATCGATTTCCAACGGCCAAGGGTTCTTTTACGTGCACGCCAATGTGTACACGTGACCTCGGTTTGTTGGACCATCCGGACGACTATACGTTGTTCCTTGCCAGGCCCTCTGTCATGCACTACTGACAAAGGAGAACGACAATCCAGATGAACTTTCTCGGCCGACACCGGCATCGAACATCGGACCTCCAGCGAATCAACGTCTTACTCACTGAGCTATCTGCCAGGATTCAGGCCTGGATAAACTATACAGTTCGTTCTAATACCTGTACAAACAATACAATAATATAGTTAAAAAAATTAAATACCATCCATAACATTCCACACGTACAGGACCAATATATACAAAACAGAGTCAATCAGTCTGTAAAGTTTTTAGTGAATAGTCCTTTCAGCAAAATGGTTGCCGAATGGTTTAACGCGTGTGCGTTTGGTCATAAGGTCTGTCATTAAGTTACGTGACATGGTTTCGATTCTCCGCTTGTACGTGACAAGGGGTAGAGTGGCCTGTTCAACCTCGTGGGTTTTCTCCGGGTCTTCCGGTTTCCTCACACAACTAAAGACTCCTATCATTATTGAAATAAAATTGAACCATGTGTCCTGAAATGACCTAGTTTGTGTCGAGTGGGTGTTAAACCCCAAGGCCTTTTCTGAATTCGCCCTGAGCTGTACAATTCACGGGCAAGTGATTAACGCATCACGCATAATAAAAACAAACAAGGGAGACAAACCTCGAAAAAGGAATATTTGCCAAACATTGTATTATTATATACGTCATACTAAACTTACGCTATCTGCCAACAACAGCTCCGCTTTTTCTCGAAGTAGATAGTTCTCTGTGTGCAGAATGATTATACGTTTCATGTAGGCTATATATAGTTCCGTTATCATTGATACGTATTATGTCGTCAGTGTATCTGGTCTAATTTAAAGATGCCTTCCCGCGTACAAACTGTGTGATTTGATGGTATATTTGGACTAAAACACATATTCAAACTAATTTATCCATCAACACATTTTAGTGACACCTTTACATTTTTCTAGTAAGAGTGAGTGTTTTTACTTTCCGTATATACTAAATATGCCATACTTTATTGCAAATAAATACTTTCGTTGGAATATACATGTATCTTTAATGTTTTAGCTACTTTACAAGGAATTCTTGAAAGCAAACTTCATATTTATATCGACGTGCATTATCCAGATAGAATCAGTTCGATCGGCTGCTGTATAATCTGGGGCGGGACGATTTGACGATATTAGGTTTGTATTTCATAATAATGGGTAGTATTTGGTAGTATTTGATAAGTATTTGGTAGTATTGGGTTATTATTTGCTTGATTTGGATTATATAGGGAGGCAAATGGAACAGTCAGACATAGGTAATCACATTTGAAGTACATTTCCCACGATATATCTCACTATTTTTGAAAAAGATCAAGTAATATGCTCATTTGGCACCATTATGTTGTAGTATTGGGTAGTATGTGGTGATATTGGAGTGGTATTGGAGTGGTATCCCCAACCTCAAATATGAAGATCTATTAGCCTTGTGCGACATATACACTTGGTTCCTGGAACGAAGACTTCCGATGTCAAGTTTAAAATTAGCTCATTTACCGATAGGTTTTGAAAAATAAATTGAAATAAATTTTACATAGTATTGGAGAGATTATTAATATTTGCGTTCTGTAGAGCCTGGAAATCTGTAGTGATATATATTTAAGCTCAACAAAGTTGGCAAAGCCCATATATATATATATATCGGTGCATTTTTAAGGGACTTAAAGTTGTTGCCCTGAGTGGAAAGTGAACCTGGTAGCGAGTGTCGGGATGGGCCTCTCTAATAATTTGGTGCATTGGTGATTTCCCGCATCAAAAAGTCACCCAGGAATCGGAAAAAGAGCACAAGACCCGCACTGTAAAAAATATTGTTTAAGACAATTTCATTCAGGATTTCGCTGGTCACATAAGTTTTTATACGCCCACATTTTCATGTGGACGTATATTGTCGTCGCCCCTGTCCGTCTGTCCATCCGTCCACAATTGTTTGTGAACACTCTACAGGTCACAATTTTTATCCGATTTCAATGAAACTTGAAATATAGGTTTATCACCCTAAGATCTCGGTTCATTTCGATATTGGCATGTTCGGACTGTAACTTCATTGATTATGGCCCCTGATTGTACGAAAAATCACGTTTTTAGCTTGTGAACACTGTAGAGGTCACAATTTTTATCCGATTTAGTTTAAACTTGAAATATATGTTTATAACCCACAGATCTCGGTTTCTTTCGAACATATCACCGTTACACCCTAAGGATGGTTGAGTTCGAATTTCGTAAAAATCGGATTGAAACTGACGGACAAAATGGCCGCCCCTCGTTCGCAAATAGTGTCAAAATATTGTGTATCAGGGTTGCGGATCCTCTGGAGGTTACAATTTTCATCTGATTTTAATGAAATTTGAAATGGATGTTTATAACCCAAACATCTTGGTTCCTTTCTATTTTCGTGCATATCGAATCGTAACTTTCTAAATTATGGCCCCTGATTGTACGAAAAATCTTGTTTTTAGGTTGTGGTCACTCTAGAGGTCTCAATTATTATTCGATTTTAAAAAACGGTTGAATATATCACCGTGACACCATAATGTTTGTTGACGTGGAATTTCGTGAAAATCGGGCCAAAACTGCTGGACAAAATGGCCGCCCCTCGTACGCAAATTAGTGTAAACATCTGGTAAATCAAGGTTGTGGACCATCTAGAGGTCACAATTTTGATCCGATTTTGATGAAAGTTGAAATACATGTTTATACCCCAAAGGCCTTGTTTCTTTTCGATATTCGCGCGTATCGGATTGTATCTTCCTGAATTATGGCCCTTGAATGTACAAAAAATCGCGTTTTTAGCTTGTGGTCCATCTAGAGGTCACAATTATTATTTGATTTAAAAAAACGTTCGAATATATCACCGTTAAAACGTAACTTCCTGGATATGGCTCCTGATTATTCGAAAAATCGCATTTTTAGCATGCGGATTCTCTTGAGGTCACAATTTTTTTCCGATTTTAAAAACCGTTTAAATATATCCCCATTCCACACAATGAAGGTTGAATTCGAATTTCGGGAAAATCGAAATGAAACTGCCGGACAAAATGGCCGCACTTTGTAAGCAAATTGTGTAAAAGTATGCTACGAAGGTTATGGAACCTCTAGAGGTCACAATTTTTATCCAGTTTTGATGAAACTTAAAACATATCTTTATATCCCAAAGATCTCAGTTCCTGTTGATATTTGGGCATTTCAGGCCATAACTTTCTGAATTATTTCCGCTGATTGTACAAAAAATCCTGTTTGTTTTTAGCTTGTTCTCTATCCATCTCTTGCAAAATGTGGGCGTATCCTGCCTGGCAGCCGCTGGTTGAGGTGGTTATGATAATCTAGAGACATGGGTATCTTGTTTTCCCGTGGAACGTTGATGTTCCAGGGCATTGGTAGTCCATAAAATCTTTTCCCAACTGGTTTGGATGGTTTGACTGGACTGGTAGGCCAAATTGGTGGACTGATGGGCAACTTGGCCTACCAGTCAGTATAAGTATGTAAAAATAAAAAAATAATAAAATAAAAAAATGTCCTGCTATGCCCTAGAATATTCATAAAGGACATGATGTGATAGTGTTAGAAATAAAATACATGTACATTAAATATTTCTGACAGTGAATCGAACGCGATCTTTCAAATAGCACTATTACTTTCTAATTTTACTTTAATCTGGAAAATAATATATAAATCAATGTATTCAAGTACTTCAATGTACGTCCAGTTAAAAATTTCAACCACTATACTTCATTCTGATATTTGCATTGTAGATTATAACCTTGTTCATCATTTGGGGCTTTTATCTTTTAATAATTGAGGTTTTGTGACCTTTAACAGAAGTCAGATCGATTATAAGATGACTCACTTAGTGCATCTATTTTTTAAAATGAATTCATTTACACAGGCTTAAAAGATATGAAATAATTATCAGGAAATGATTTCAACCTATCAACACCGGAACTATATTTCCGATAATCCATAACTCAAAACGTATTGTGGATGAAACGAGAGATGCCTGTGAACCTATCACCCCTGTTAGATAATGGACTTGCCTGCTCCGCTATCCACTCTACCGGTTCTTTCAAAACATTGTCAATGGTATGAAACGGTTAGATGACACAATATCGTGTGTTAGTTTACCGACATTGTAACTGTATTTGCGACTTATTCGTCTACTTGTGGAAAATACAGGGAGACCCGATGCCAGTAGCATGACGGCCGAACAAGAAATCAAGTTGAAAGAATGTGTTTAAGTGTTTCAACATTGCGTGGGTGGCGTTGTCTGTTGGATCTGGTGTCATTATAAGATGAGGGGTGTTAGCTTTTGTACCTATTGACGAGTTAAACCGCAAAATATGCATGACAATACCGTTATCAACCAAAACTGAATCTGCGTGTAAACAAGTCGTTTACTATCATATTAAAACCATGTGTGAGACTAACAGAAGATATTAATGTATAATAATAATAATACTATCAACTTGGCTTGGCTTACATTTATTTAACGTGCTTCTGATCGACATATTAAATGGACGTGAAATGGCGTTATGACTATGAGAATTCTCGATTAAAGATACAACTAATCCAAGCAATGGCTGAAGTAAATAGCAAATGGAATTTAGAGAAGTCCTGATTATTCAACATTGATAAATTATCAACATTCTCTAATATAATCATGAGGTAAGTAGCGTATAACATCATTAAAATATGCTAACAAACACATGTTTATCATCAAATGTGTGCAATTATATTTTACAATGCATGGACCAAATAACCGTATACATTTAAAGGCCTATATTATGTGTAATTCAACTATATAATTGTTCTACGCTGTTTATGGGGCGGGTGGGGGAATAAACTGAACTTGGGGATCATAATCAGGTACATGATATACATCTACATCTGTAGGCTACATATTCATTTAACAGTACTTGGAACATCTTTTTTATTCCAGTGAATCAGTGATGTTGTTTTCTTTATTTTGATATTCAATGTTGTATTGAGATTATATACTGTTATGTGTTATATTCAGATGAAGAATTCGAAAGTCCCTAGGCTATTCCACTTATGCGGCCTCTCCCAATCCCCAACGGTCCAACCCTCAGAACTAGATGAAGATGAAAGTATGTTTTAAACACAATTGAGCAAAGCCGCAGATTATGATGGATGTTCAAGTTGAATTGGTTTAAAATCTCCTACGATAGTTAAACCAGTTTAACTTGACTGTCTGAACACAAAGGTGGGACAAATAAACCAGTTTAAAAAACTCTGTGCACGAGCTGTCTTCGGGAATGCTTTTTTTTCTAAACTTGTTTATCTTGGCCGTCTGAACGGGAATGCTTAACATCCCCGGCTATAGCTCGCTTTGGACATGCGCAGTAGTCATTTTCCCAGGAATATTAACTACAGTAGTTTAATATTCCTGGGAAAATGACGAGATCATGCAATGCCAGTGTTAGCAAGGCGACAAGCCAGTCAAAATTGAGGGGTGACTTGGGGAGATGAGGAAACACTTTTCCTTATTTCTGTGTGGTATGCCATATAATCCATGTCATCTATTTCACCAGGAATGTTTGAAGCGTTTTTGTTGACCCAAACCACCCAACACTGTTATAGGGTTGGTACCTTGTTGATTATAGAAGGGTATCAATGAAATGGGGTTTAAAGTCCCACTTTTCTGCACCGGCTTCTCCAAGGAAGACAGGCATATGCCACACAGTGTTCTATGAGTGAAATTTTGCCCAGACATTAGCACTACAGACTACTCTTCTACTGAATTCCAACTGTAAAGGGTTCTTTTACATGAATACCAATGTGTACAGAACACCTCAGGTTTTTGATCTCAACCGAACGACTAGCCACTTTCCTTGCCCCAAGCCCTCTGGCAAGGGAAAACCAAGCCGGAAAATCTCGGGGAACTGTCTTGACTTCTGGATCAAACCTTAGAAGTCCTGGTTAGTGAGCCAGCGCCTTACTCAATGAAGTATATAATGATTATTGTTTTGTATTGTAGAAATGAATAATGAAAGATGACGTAGAATATCATGACAATAAAATGTTATGTAGCACTAATATATATGTTAAAAATTATTCCATTACATATAACATTATAAATTCTTATGTTTATAAACTGAAACTGTCGAAAGTGAAAGTTAAAATTCTTTAAATGTTTTTGTTTTCATTTGAGCATTCTAGATGTATAAGTACATGTACATGTATATCCATCCTCATGTTCACTTAATTTGCTTTGTAGTTGTTTCTTATCAAATTTCATAATACATTTTAGAGAACTGTTGATAGAGAACACTGTAACTTTGATATTGTTGAAAAATGAACAAAAAACTTTTATAGAGGAAAATATATGCCACTTTCTGTTCCAGGGATATATTACATATTGTGAACACAATAGACGATGGTTGTGCAATAAACCTTTTTCAAAACAACGATACCCTGTACTGTAACATAGTCTTTGTCCCAATTGCCATGATTAGAATTGTTAGGATGCTTAGCAAGAATAATTTACATGTAGATAATAATTTAAGAATAATTCAGGAAATGTCAAGTGTCATGACCCTCTGTAAAATGAAAATTACAGTGGACTCTGTCACATCCGATGTCTGATCACTCCGGATTGCTGTGACATCCGACATGATTTTCATGTCCCGATTTATTTCCTTATTACTTCAGCCAAAAAATCGCTGGTAAATCCGGATTCTGTATGTTCTGGATTACGACATCAATCAGCCGTCCCGTCACATAATTTCCATTGAATCGACACCGTATAATCCGTACTTCAAACGGTGGGTGTGAAGCATCCAATGAGGTTAAAACTCAATGTACATGTATATCCATCCTCATGTTCACTTAATTTGCTTTGTAGTTGTTTCTTATCAAATTTCATAATACATTTTAGAGAACTGTTGATAGAGAACACTGTAACTTTGATATTGTTGAAAAATGAACAAAAAACTTTTATAGAGGAAAATATATGCCACTTTCTGTTCCAGGGATATATTACATATTGTGAACACAATAGACGATGGTTGTGCAATAAACCTTTTTCAAAACAACGATACCCTGTACTGTAACATAGTCTTTGTCCCAATTGCCATGATTAGAATTGTTAGGATGCTTAGCAAGAATAATTTACATGTAGATAATAATTTAAGAATAATTCAGGAAATGTCAAGTGTCATGACCCTCTGTAAAATGAAAATTACAGTGGACTCTGTCACATCCGATGTCTGATCACTCCGGATTGCTGTGACATCCGACATGATTTTCATGTCCCGATTTATTTCCTTATTACTTCAGCCAAAAAATCGCTGGTAAATCCGGATTCTGTATGTTCTGGATTACGACATCAATCAGCCGTCCCGTCACATAATTTCCATTGAATCGACACCGTATAATCCGTACTTCAAACGGTGGGTGTGAAGCATCCAATGAGGTTAAAACTCAATGGGTGTGAAGCCAGAAAAGATTAACAAGCAATCACCAATCAATTATCGGTGAGATTAAAACTCGCAAGCTCTGGTCTGTGTTGATTACTTTGATAATGTTATAAATTCTTTGTTGATTATTTTACAGTTTATAATCTCTTGTAAGAGTGCGCTTGGTATTTGATTTTAGTTACTCATGTCAAATACCGCGACATTATATAAAAATTGCCGCGATTGAAGAATCATTATACATTATTGTATTCAAAATGTCTGAACGTCCTGCAAAGCGTGCCTGAACAGATTTGACATTAGATGTAAAGCGGCAACTTATAGCAGATTTCGAGAAAGTTCCACGACCTGCGCAGAAGGAATTAGCCATTAAACATACATTATGCAAGAGCTAAATCTGCCTATTGCAGGTCTTTCTTTAGGTCTGAAATGTTATCTAAATTATTAATTAGACATTAATTAACCTATCCAGACCATAATCAACTCTAGATGGCATCGCTAGCCTGCGATCTTTAGTGGATTGTGAGCCGATTTACTGCATAACTTTCCTTCTCGATTAAACGATTAAATAGATAATCGAGACTATGCTGTTTATTGTACTGACTTTAGTAATGTGACCGAGGCTAGGCAGAAATTTCATTCGTTTAGTTTTCGGTTCATAGTGGATCAATTTGAATGAAATTTTCAGCAAATTGCCTTTACGTTATCTAGTTTTGAACTATTATAGTGAGAACTGCCAACTCGTTATCGAATCTCCCATAATGTATCTTTAAGTATTCAATTGGCCGAACTACAGTGTCAGACATATTAAAGTGTAAAGATGAATTTAAACAGAAGTTTGCCGATAATTTAAACTGCAGTAAGAAACGATTGTTATTGTTAATTATTTAATGTAATAAAATTTTGAAAGTACAGAAAGGTTTATCATTTTTAAAGGGAATAGCATTCTGGTGATTTGAAGCTAAAATATAAAAATACTTCCGGTTTTCGAAGTTACAGTATTTCCGGTTTTGGAGAAAGCTCGGTATTCCGACACACTGTGTGATCCGAAATATTTTAACGATCCCGTATGATGTCGGATGTGACAGAGTCCACTGTAGCTACTTAAAGATGGTTACTTTAAGCATAATTAGGTCATCTGTATGACCCAGAGAACATATCTTTATCATAAAGTACATGCATATTTCTCATGACCAGGACATTGTAACCAGAATTAAAGTATCTAAATTAAATCAATATATATAAAGAGAAAGGTTGTTTGTTTGAGGGTATATTCGCTATTAGGCCTGCAGCAAAAATTTCTAGGCATGAAGTTCCACTACTAGGTCAATAAACAAACTATACATTTTTGGAAAGCTTATAACACCAGGAACACAAATCCAGAGAGTTCCAAGCAAAAAGTTTGCACTAACTCGATTTAGGGCCAAATGAAAATTGTGATAATTGTCAAGTAAATGCTATATTTATACTAACAATTGTGAAGTTGACATAAAAATTAAATATTAGCGAAAACACCCGATGCCTTCATCCTATGCAAAGAATATGCTATTAGTTAAAGTTTGATTTAAAGCAAAATGCAGAAACCATAAAGGACAGGGGGAATATACAGGGGTGGATCCAGGAATTTTTGCAGGTGGGGGGAGGGTTGCCAGGTTCCTGAGACAATGTAACCCCCCCCCCCTCCCGCATGGTCTATATCGTTATTTTGGCGTATATACATACACATTGAGCTTTTTAAACAGAAATTCAACACCTCGATTGACGTCAATTTTTATTATGAATTAATACAGTGGGTCAATTCAAGTCCCGGGTTACGCCTGTGTTAAGGTTGTGTTCTAGTGGTGTATAACTGGTGTTAGCAGGTCTGCGATCAACATATTCTTTATCTTATGTTTTGGCTGTATATGGATAAAAAAAATCATTTTAAGCCTTAAAACTAAATCTAAGAGCCGTAAAAGAAATTCCCTTCTTGTCGTCTGCACTTTTACACCAGTGTTGTAATAAACGACTTGAACTGAGATTTTTTTAACACCAGTGCTACACTGATCTAACTGGTGTTAGACACTACACCACCTTAACCCAGGACTTGAATTGACCCAATGACATTGTGATTCAATTTCATGGATGCAAAGCATTAATTGTGACATCAAATAATGTCTATATCATTATCTCGTGCTCTGAGTGCCCACCATGTCCCACATCTGACGATAAAGGATAAAGCACACGACC